TATCTGCCCAGTATTCATATGGGTACGTTGCCTCCTTCTTCAGTTCCCAACTAACTCTAGGTCGAGTTAGTAATATTTGGAACTTTTTTTTTAGTGACGACAAGACTCTAGGAGGGAAGATGACAACCGTATCTCCTTCTTACCTAGCCTTCGTCAATGGTTCAACTAATATGATGGTCGTTCTAACAGACCAGACTGCCCAAACTGCCGAGACCCATGTCAGAATTGACCTCAAGCCGGCAAAACAGTTTCAATATTAAAAAAAAAATAATAATAAATGTGGGATCCTAATAAATGCATTCCTGAACGATATTGACGGCAACACTGACTGGACGAAGCTTGGGTGACGGACATAAAATAACGGATAAAGGAACCGTGATACAAAAGTTCAGTTTAATTTGAAGCGTTAAAGAGTCGAGTAGAATTTCTAAAGTTATTTAAGTTAATATTAAAAAACCTGTACAGTTATATTAAAGAAAAATGTTAAGTAAATTTTAAATAGATATTCAATGAATTTAATGCAAATATATTTATTTTAATTGCAAATGGCGTAAAAGTGTATTTTGAAGAATTTAATTGACTGTGAACCCCAAATAAATAATGATATGAAAGTACGAATCAAAGAAATAAGAAATTTTAATATAAAAGAACGGACATTTTTTCAAAAGTCAATTTTTATAAAGTACTACATATTCTGTTAGTTAATTTTTAAATAATTGCTCAATAAACCAAGCCAAATTACGCTAAATAACAACGCAAACGGTGTACCACGCGCTCTCCCTCCAAACTCAATTCAGCCCAATTAACAAAGAATTTATGCGTGATATAGCCCAGCAAGTAGCTAACCACATATAATAACCTATAACTAGGGACTAGAAATTGTAAATAAATGAAAATAAAGTGCACGAACTGCTCGATATGGTTAAATGCTTAAGAGCGTTGTTCAGAGAAGAATTTAGATTTTTGGAAAAAATCTGTGAAGTTTACAGTAACTTCCAAAACACCCCTAGATATTTCTCAATGCTGCACATCGTACCGCACAAGATAGGTAGTCGGTAATGCCGACACGGATCGCGAATACTATCGTACTTCACTGGACTGAACTCAAAAATAAAATAAAAGAAAGTGTCTGATGTTTTATTATTCAGACAAAGACGACATTGGTACTCTGGAATACCAAGTGAATACTTTTTAACAAATATTCTATCAACATCAATCAGTTATATTAGACAAAATTACATGTCTCGATATGAATGAAGACTCACTTAGAGCCTATGACTCAAACAGACCGTGAAAGGGTTTAATGGACTTAACATCTAGTAAGAATTTTCAAAAAAATCAATTTTTTTAAATTTAATTTTCGTAATGTACATGTATTCAAGTAAATACTCGGAAAATTTCAATTCGATCCGACTGTTTTCTTAGAAGTTACACGCATATCTGTAACGACTTGTCAGAGCATTAGACAGTGCTAAGCCGGTGTGGTGCCTACGTTTCGTGTACGTTTCGCTCACCTGCCTTTTATTAATAATTAATAGGAATCTACACAAACGTATACAAAGTTCTACTGTGTAAGCATATTACTTTTCAACATTCAACATTTATAATTTTACCTACGAGAATTACACTTCAAAAATTTCAGTACATCTAACAATCGAAAAGGAATGATTGTATTGAATTTTTGATAATAAATAAATGAGTTTTGCATTTGTAATTCCAGTATTTAAAATTTTCATATTTCTGAAATTTTGATCTAATAAAATATATAATAATAAGTTTTAATTTCAGCTGCAATAGGTTACAGTTCTCCAAATGCAGAAGCCGGACTGCAAGCAGTTAAAAAAAGTCATTTACGTTTCATTAGTAATAATAAAAAAAATAATTGAGCAAATATAATATTATAATAATATTTCTATGTATTGTATGTGTATATGTATATGTTAATATATTTAGCAATAGCATTCAAGATGAAGATAGAGTAATTTTGAGTTTTTAAAATGAAATTTAATCTGAAATTTTTGAAGTCAATATGATATATTTTCATTTTGTCTTAATGTCATTATACGTACATTAATATAAATATACTTTTAAGTAAAGTAATTTTTTTAGTTTTCAAACGAAATGAATTTCATAGTTAATACTTTCATTATTATTTAAATTCAAATATTTATTTAAATGTAATAAAAAATTTACACTCATCATTTCGGTTCTTTTCGAGGCATAGTTTCAAACATTCTGATTCGAATATCCATAAATTGTTTTAGTTCGACGTCTTTAAACTTCAAGAGTGGGGGAATTATGAGGAAGACAAGGATAAGATTATTTCTACTGTCTAAAAAAAAAAAAAAAATTGAATTTGTTTCATGAAGTACCTAAGGTCGCGAACTTATCAGCCGCGCAATCTAAGGAAACAAACATTTAAGATCCTTTAGCGGACAAGGTTGTCAAAGGTTGGGAAAAAGCACGAGCGTCTTTTAAACTGGAAAGAGGATTGCAAGTATGTGAGTACAGCAGAATGGCTGACTAAAACAATAACAAAATCTTAGGGATAAACAAAAGTGATCATAAATATTTCTCCTGCAAGCAATATCACAAAATCCCCACATGGAAACGTCGGTAAGGGACGCTCTAGATTTACACCAAGCACAAAACGAAGGACTCAAAACTGCTCACACTGGCAGTGGCTTAAAGCAAAGAAGACGGTAAGTGACTTAGACTATACCATTGGCTAGGCGATAAGTGTTCAAACAGTATGATGAGAAGCAGTTTCAGGCTAAACTTTAGGTTTTGTAGCATAACAACTCAGTTTTGGAAAACAGAACAGCCATTTTAAGTGCAAGACTGTGCTATAAAGACTGTCTAATCTCAACATATTAGTTAATACGAAAGAAATTAAATTCTCTGGAGTAAAGATACTAAAAGTTCACCGATATTCAACGAAATTGGTTCTTTTTTCAGGAAAGATGCTGTAATGAAATTTAAAAAGAAACAAAACATAAATGAGCGGAATCCCTAATAATGCAATGAAAGATATAAGCGATTTAATTCAGAAGTGTCTAATTCCACGGTTCTAGAATTGCATTTTTTGTATATGTTTGTATTATTTCGAAAGCAAACTTCCAGATATCTCCACAATACTTGCTCTACGACGAAACATCTTAGAAGGAGGAGAGCTTGATTAAACGTACACATTTCTTCTAACAGCGAAAGTTCGCATTAGTGACACGAAGTTCTCATACAGCCGGAGCAAATCCTGCACTAAATAACTAATAATACCGATATTCAGACAAAATTAAAAAAATATTCAAGAAAGTCAAAAGTCAATAGAGCCTGAAATATCTAAACAACATTTTATGCTAACGGATTAACCCAAATAGCATGATCCAGCGTTATGGCTTGATAAAAAAAATTAGAAAAATAATTTAAAAAAATCTCAATTTTAAACAAAAAATTTTACCAAAATAAAGTTGAAATTAGTAACAGTTAGAAATGGCGATTTCACTAAAAAAAAAAGGAAAAAATATTAAATTTACATATTTTTCAGTTGATTTAACGGTTATATAGATTTTTCGCATGCATTTGAGATAACATTTTGTAGGCAGATCTGAGAGAGAATCTAGCGGAAGCATTAAGTAATTTAGCATTGAAGCATAATTGGCATTTTTGAACGCATTTTTACATTATTTATATGTAAGTATGTTTTCTATATTATATGCAAAGCAACATACATACATATATAAGGTGTACCGAAATTAAGTATTTAATGTTACTTATGTACATTATGATTCAATGAAAAATCACAATCTGAAGACTAAATTCTATGTTATCTATTTAATTAAATTTTTTCCTTAATTTTGGTACACTTTATACATTTAGTATGTACACTTTCTTATGTAAGCTACTATATGTATGTATGTATTTAGAATATTTTGTATGAGCAGTGTTGCTTACTTTCCTATTTGGCAATTTAGTTTACCGTTAAAATTGTCTTGATTTTTACGCTTTTGTTTTTAGTTGGAAATTTCAAATCCCTAAATATATAGCAACATGTATTTTTCGGGTTTTTTAATATTGTTTTTGTGTTATAACCTAAAACTGTTTTTAGTTAAATTGTGTGTATTGCCAGGTACATATCTTAAACATATATGAAATTTTAAATTATTGTATTGTATTGTGTTGAGTTGTGTTCAAATATATCTATGTATGTACTGCACTTTCCTTTGCAATGGTAAATTAGCTTATTTATAATGTAAGTATGTATATATGTCTATATGTATATAGTAATTGAAATTGTTTTCGATTTTTTACGCATTTCAGTAGTAAGAGTCCTTTATATGTATGAAACATTTAGGCACATTTATATTTACATACCAACGCTTGTGTATTTATATTTTTATTCACATGCAGTTTGAACACACTTTTCATGTTGTGCCACTTGGCTGGCGTATAGGCAGATGTACAGATTATGCGAAACAAAATACTTTTAATGCAAAAATACGCACTTCCCTAAGCAACAAAACGAGGCTGAGACAGGTTAATATGCAATTGTGCTTTGCTTACCGGCTTCGCTTAGTGTATGTTTTAGCATTTTTTTTCGTATAAATAAATATATATACATGTACGCTACTACTTTTGCTCAACTCAATTTGCACTTCACTAAAAACGTATATGACGTTGCGCATAGCGACCGTCCACATCGCCACCATTCTCTTCATCACTATCCGAGTCGATAATGTTGCGCAACGTTAGCGCATGGAAATCGTTTAAGGTTTGCTCAAACAGATCAATTGTCTGCTGATCCGCCTCGGAGATCACATTTTGTGTGGCGTCTAGTAGATCTTCAGCTGCATCGAGCAACTCACGACTACCATGCGCTACAAGCGCCGCCGCGGCAACACCGCCGCTTGACACTAGACTCGTTGAGGAGGTCGCACCAGGCGTACCTGGCGCTGTGCCCACTGGGGGATATTGTTGACCACTGAAATTCACTGTATTCTCACCACTTATATGTTGTTGTACAATATTTCCATCGTCTCCATGCTGCAGCTGCTGTTGTTGTGTTGTAGCAGCATTAGCAGCGGCTGCGGCTGCTGCTGCTGCAGCTGTGTTGCGTGAAAGTTCATCCGCATGCGCTAATGTCGAACCGATTATATCGCTGGCTATGCGTATAGCTGCATCGGTAGCGGCAATTGTTGATATAAAATCGCTAGCGTTAGCTGGATGTCGCATGCTGTAATAGTTGAGTGGCAAACTAAGATCGGATGTGGAGTCTGTGGGCGTATTTGCTACACCTAGGCCGAGTGCTAGGCTTTGTTGTTGTTGTTCGTATATTTGTGAAGCGAAATTCGAATCGGTTATAACGGTATTGCCTTCGATGCGTAAACCAGCGACACCTTTTTTCGGTATCGTCGCCAAATCGCGTTTAACGCGTCGACAACGACTCGGCTCATTTTGTCGCTGCTGCACCATTGTCTCCAAATCGACGACATACACATAGCCAGCTACTAATATGATGCAGGATTTTTCACCTTTCTTAAAAGCCTCCTCAATATCCTGACTGGTACGATCATCGTACTGCCACCAACCTAAAGAAATACGCATAAAATATTTGCGTTTAAATTTTATTCTTCAACAAAAATATTATTTTGTATTTATATGTAGAAGTATGTGAATATAATTATATATATATATTTATATGTATATATGTTTATGATAATATTAGTTTAAGTAATGCATTTGTTGTTGGTGTTGGCATTTGAGTAAGTTTATATGTATGTATGTATGTATGTAGTTATTAAAGTTTCAATATTCCCGCAACGCCTTTGGTTGGCATATGCTTTGAACGACGGATTTTGCGTTTACGCGTCGTATTTTCTATTGGATGTTGTACCATATCGCCAAAATCGATGGTATATAATTTGCCGCAAATAAGTATTTCAAAGCTGCAATCTTCTTCCAGGTCGACTGTACCAGTACCGAGCATGCGTGTTTGATACACATCTTCGATATCTTTGGAAGAGCGCGGATCATATGCCCACCAACCGCCTGTGGAAGTTTGTCTTAGTTTTTGTGAGTTCATGGGTTATTGTGTTTTTTTGTTCACTTACCGTTACGTCCTTCGTAGAACCATTGATAACCATCTTCTGTGGATTTTGTTGCACAAATATCATCTATGCCATTGACCAGATCGGGATGATCAAGAAATTCTGGCGGTATTTCACGTCTACACATAGCACAACGACGATTTTTATAGGCCACGCCCTAGAATGGAATGAGAATAGGGTTAATATTTGGTGGTTATATAAAAAAACGGTACATTTTAATTTGAAAACAATTTTTTTTTTTAATTTATAGAAACCAAATAGCAAAAATATTGCCCTAAATTGGTTTTCCGTGGAATATTTCCGGGAAAAATTCGGATTCGTAATAATATAAACACCCGACTTTCGCGTGAACTATTGGATTTTAGTCGCCTCTTACGACAGGAATGCCTTACCCCCTGCGGGTTAGGGGCTCAAGAATTTACCCGCGGTAACCAAGGACTGTCACTCCCGCAACATTCCCCAAAAAGTACTTTGGGGAATAATTTTGCGGTTACAACAACAACAGGAATGCCTTGCCGCAAGTAAATTCTTGAGCCTTAACCTCGCAGGAATCAATTTTTTTTATAAGAGCTCGTTAACTCCAGCTAAGGTTGTGGAGTGGCGTTCAGAGGACGTGCTAGTAGGTTGTTAGTAAAGTATAGGGCCCTCTGGTAGTCCGCTAGAATATCCAAACACAATTCGTCGAATCAAATAGATGATGATGAAAAAAGTTTGATAAACTGATGGCGCTCAAGTAATTCAGTCACATGTTGTTGTTGTATCGCCTAGTTATTCCCCATGCCAGTGTCATCTAAAGAGAGGCCAAGGAAACAAGCTGCTTCCAGCGAAAAAGGTGTTAGATGAGTAGGTTCTAGAGATGGTTAGCATCGAGAGAAGAGTCATTGAATGTAGAACATACATTGGTTATGTTGGGGACCGAGTCTGGCAATATAGAAGTTGAGTATACTACAGTAACTATACCTTAGTTCAGTGGTCCTCTCTCGCTAAACCTGGGAGGTGAATCAGCAGTAATCTGTTGGGGAGCTTCGGTGTCTCGCAATGAAGCTGGTTTCTTCAGTCGCATGTCGCGAGCCTGCGGCATCTGTTTTGGTGCCGTGAAATTTAAGAATGACCGAAAGGTCAAAGACTCGCACTAACCATTTCTTTGCACGCTAAAACTTTAAAACCAACTCATCAACATCCGTTTGCTTGGATTTATCATTGTTGTTGTTGTTGCGGTTCACTAGCCCCGCTTAGGGACAGGTTTAATCAATCTAAGTCGGCGAGGTAAGGATCTATCCTTATATAAGATCCGATGACTTAGCCTGATTTTTACTGCTCCTCATGTTACTCGATAGCCAATTAAGGGAATATAATATATTTTTGTTACAACAATAGCAACAACAACAGAAATACACGGCGCCTGAGTGACTGCCCCCAGGTATGCAACACCAAATTTTTGCTACTTTATATGGGTCTCTGTACGATATGCCACAAGGACGTGCTCATTTCGGACTTCAGCGAACCCTTAAATCGAATATATCGGAGTGGCTCCACTGAAGCTTCCTCCGTTACATAATACATATTTTAAAGAAGGAAAATTCATAGTTTAAATTAATTTTAACTATTTAATTTTATATTTTAAATGCTTAAACATGTTGAAAATTCCGAAAAATTATTTGCAGCTCATTAAACCATTTTAATTTAAAAAAAAAGGAAATAAACTTTAAATATACACAATAAAAAAATTAGACTTTAATTTACAATCAAATCACATCATCAGCAAAGTCTGTAGTTATGTATATATGTATGTTTTCAATGTCAGCAACTTATATCTAAACTCGAAATCGGAGTACACCCGTTCACAACGAAAATGAGCAATGCGCATTGGTGTCCACAAAAAAGTCCAATGTACATATGATGTACGTAGGATTGTAGGCATTTTAGCCGATCATAATTAATAAGTTTTCTAGAAAGTTATAAAGCTGAAGAAACTAATATTTATAAACACAAAGATAACAAATCAATAACCTTCAAAACCGTTGTCTGCATTTTTGAACAATAAAAAATATTTTTTTCTTCAAAACATAACGTCAAAGCAAGTTTTCGTTTTTGTCTTTAAAGAACTTGTAACATATAAATATGTGTGTTTATTTGATTTTGAAAGGCCAGAGACGTGTGTACTATGTAAACTATGACGTCTTATGAACGCGGCTGTCCAAAACTTGAAATTAAACTGTAGCACTATTCAGTATGATTCCAATAATAATTATATACATATACATATGTATTTGGTATTAAAATTTTTGAACTGAACTTAACGTCGTGTCACTTTGCCTGTTTCACACGTGCCCACCTATGGAGATAGTGGCGGTAAAACCTCTTTTTGAATGTTAAAGAAAAGGGCATACATATGTATGTAAATATTATTTAGTTTATACATTGTACATTGTTCTAAAATAAATAAATAAATAAATAAATAAATTGTAAACATAAATCGTCACTTTGCATTCTTTTTTTCCTCCAAAATCAATATATCCATGAATTTTTGTTTTATTAAACATGGAAGTTAAAATATTTTATATCTAAATACTACATTATTGAGAAGAATATTAATTACTTTTCGGCTTATACTTTCCATTACTGTAGATACTCTACCACGAATCTGACAAAGTTACTAATTCTTTTTAAATTTCCGCATGTTAAAATGGACAATAATATAAACACTTGCGTGTTTGAAATAAATATTTTTAGTACATACATATATAGAGAAGTATCCAATATTTTAAGCTTATCACGTATCGTCGCAGGTTTTAACTATACATTTAATTAAATATGCGCTAATGCAGACTATACTACACGCGCCATGCCAGCCAATGCGTTTGACTTTTCTTTGTGCAAGCATATTTATATATAGTATATATTTAACATTTAACTTTGCCTACTTTATATAAAAAAAAATCAATGACATTTGTGCATATTTTTTTCAAATTACAGCTACATATATAAGACATACATATATGCATTTGTTTACTCACTTTCACGCATAGGAAACAAAATATATGCCCACATGGCAAACGTGCTGGATGTATACATGTTTGTAAGCATATTGGGCACTCAATTGTAGCTGAAGGTCCTGCAGCGTCCTCAGCATCAGCCGACCTTTCATCCGGACTACTATCGACACATATAACTGCTGCCGCGGCGGCTGCTGCTGCTGCAGCTGATTTCGATGTGGATGCGGTCGGGGGGGTGGTATTGCATAGATCGATTACGGCATCAGTTGCATTGTTGGTGTTTTCATCTCGTGTTGTTACTGTTGTTGTGTCTGCTCCAAGTGGCATTGCAGTCACTGACGTAGTAGGAATTTGCAAATTTGTTTCAACCTCGTATGGTACAATAACTGGCACATTCGTTTCATTGTGCAGATCGGCCATTATTATTCTTGTTGCACCAGACGTTATTGTTGCGTTTATTTCTTGAGCCAGACTATCGCCTGTTTCCTCACTTGTCTCCATTTACAAAAACAAATTTCACTGGTGTACAACTTTCCACTTTGCTTTCAATATTGCTAAACACAATTAAAACAATATTGTTTCTTTCTTTGTTATTTGTTTGTTAATTAAGTATTTTGTTATTATTTATTGACTCCACATCTACACATCTACACTTCATCACCGCGTTGATTGCTTCTGACACGAAAATCAGCTCACACAAGTAATTTGTCATCAAATGGAAGAAAGAACTGTTTTATTTCAATATTTTTTTGTCAATTTCGCTCTGTTGCTTGCTGAATTCGCCGTAGTAGTTTGCAAACAGGTGGAGTAGTGAAGCGTATACCAGTAGATGGCGCTAAACTATATGAATGTTTTTGCTGCCGTATAAAAATTTTTTATGTTAGGAATAAAATAAATAGCTTTTGAAAGAGATATGGGAATTCATTATTTAAAACGATTTTTCATCGTTTCCATAACTTATTCTCTCTCATCTTTGCGAGTATTAAAATTCGCTGACACATATATGTACGTATTACGTCTACATACGCTAAACGCGATTAACACACATCTTAAAGCAAATAACAAATATTTTGTTGAATGCAACCCTACATAATGCTGCAATGCATGGCGGAAACGGAATTGTCATAATAAAGGGCTCTGCTGCTTTCCGGGATGTCATTATTTCCGTTCCGCTTTCGATTGCATTCCTCTTTTCACACACATTTGAACATACATGGCGGGAGTTTAATTAATCTTCGGAGAATATGCACGATTAAAATGCTGTCCATATACCCGAGAAATCGAGACTCGGAATCTGAAAACTAGTTAAATGTAATTTATGATCTTTTATACCCAATCATAATGAGAGCTCCCAACACTAAACAGCGTTGCTGCGTATTTTTTATGAGATCAGCTTTCTTGTAGTTTGCACAGCAAGCATACCGTGTCCTCAGTTTAGAGCATCTTTAAATGTGTATTATGCTTACCATGGATTTGGGCTGATTATCGCCGGAAGTTTAGATAATTCCCGGGGGTTTACCAGTCACACAATCGGCTGAATATCGCTTCATCGGTTGTAATTTCTCAATTTTATATATAATATATAACAGTCAAAAGCTTCTTACAACTGCACGGACTTTTACACACGTCTGTTTGCTATTGTCAACGGCTTAACCAGGCTGTACTGACAACACTGCTGAAAACTAAAAATCAAAAGCAAATTAAGCTTTCGCCTTCACTTGCGATAAAATTCAAAAAGCTTTGGCATAAGCTTCTGCTTTAAAGTGCTTTTCGTGCTTATTGTTGCCTCTGATGGCGTTTGCTGTCACTGATGCTTGTTTTACTTGGACACATGGTTGCTGCCGTCCTTGTTCTTCAAATGAATTTTTAAGGCCAAGTGCAAGTGACGAACCGAAAACTTTGACTCGTCCGTGGTAGCGCGTATACAACGGCGGTCGTTTATGAAATCAGTTTGATTGCCAGCTTGTTTGTGTGTGTCTTTGTGTGTGTGGCGATGAAATAAGCACAAAAGAACGTGCAAAAACTTTACTTAGTTTTTCTACATTCCATTTTGTGCACACTTTCGCATATCCAGAACTTCTACGCTGCGCACACTTCTCGACTCTATCAAGTGAATAAGTTATCTGCGGCAATGCGATACCTATTGCCAGCGTAATACAGCTCCAAAGCAACAACACAACCAGCCACAGACAACCACAATCATATCCTCATAGTCAGCGTGCGCTTAGTTGCCGTTGCCGTTGACGTTGTTTTTGTTGTTTTTTGTCATATATTTTATATATTTGCCTTCTTTTCATTTTATTAGGGTGTATGTGTGTGCTCTGTATTCTTGTTCTGTCACTGTGTTTCTGTGTCGTAGCCCCATTGTTGGTTTATTATGTATCTTGCGCCCTTGCCTTCTTCTGCCATCAATATTCTGTGTTCTGCCATCTATCGTCTATCGCACATTGTCGCCTTTCGCCCGTCGTGCCCGTACCTGTGCGTTTACTCGCTCACTTGGGGTTGCTCGCTATAGCGCTTTGCGTTCGCCTGTGTTCCCGTTCCGTTCGCAATCGTGTCAGTCGAGATTGAGAGTGCGAATTTGGCCTACAGACCTAATTTTCTGTCTGCAGCCAAAACAAACCCAATTAAATACCGAAAATCAGTGTAAAAATTTAAGTGAAAATAGTTTTTATTAAAAACAAATACATAAAACAAGTGCTACGCCATGTACGAAATACGAAATACGCAATAAAAATGATTTAAACAAGAAAAAAAAAATATAATACAAAATAAAAATGTAAGAAAGCAAGATAATTCTGCTACATTGGTGAATTGTGTGCGAATTGCACAATTGTAGAACTTTTTTTCTACACTTTACACACAAAATAAAAAAAAAAACAAAAAAAAAAAGATTAAAAGAAATACATATAATATATACACACATACAAATTGAAGAAGTGAAGTTGAGCGCAGTGTCAGTCGAGTCTATGTAGTGTATTTCTTCTGTGCCTTTGGGGTTGGGGAGCGTGGTGAAGTGGTTTGGCAGGAAGGAATTATCGCATATGCGTTCGGGAGCAGCCGCGAAGTCCGCGTTAGTTGAAACGTCAAGTAGTTGGTGGTGTTGGGCGAGTAATTGTGGTGCATAGTTGTTATTGTGTCATAGCTACAGTTGGACTGTTCCATATATACTAACGTACATGCATACATACATATGTATGTGCATACATATGAATGTATTTATGAATGTACCTCGCCTCCCACCTTGTTACCCAATCTAGTTATACTTAAATACATACGTACATACATACAAACATATGTGCGCTTGCAGCTGTGTATTCGACATGAAAGGCAGGCTCTTCTGGCTAGCGGAGACGCAAGACGTCAGAGCACGATAACTAGTTGTTACCGCTGCTGCTGCTGGTGCTGGTGCTGCTACAGCTGCAAGCATATTCGCAAAGATATTTTTTGAATTGGACTGCAATTTGCAATTCCATTCTGGAGCTTTCGCGGCGGTGCGGTTTTCAGTAATGTTTCTCTTGTTAATAAATGTGTGCTAATAGAACGGAAATAAAGCAAGAAAAAAACAAAAATAAAAAAAAGGTGAAATAAAGCGGTAAGAGAAGCAAGTTGCACACAGTGCTCTAGTGATATTCATCCGCCGCGGTGTACCATTTGTGATGAAAAAAAAAACAAATTCAATACCTAATTTTAGAGGTTAAAAGACAAAGTGACGAATGCTCTTTTTGTGAACTTTGCCAGGCTGGTGCACCAATTTCAGCCAACACTATGCTATAGTGCCAATTTCAATTAATTATCAGTGTATACACGAAAAGAACAGATGTGAATCCGCTCCAGACGTGTTTGTATGTGTACACCACAGACGCCTAGGTTAACCCAAGTCATCAACTTTATGCAGACGATGTCTCTAAATGACTACATATACATACATACATACATACATACATACACACACATGTACATATTACCTCAACACAGCAGCCAGCCAGTAACTGTAAGGAAGCTTATTTATAGTCAGCCAAGGATTGGCACTCCAGCAATACGGGCACATCATCATTGCAGTGAAAGGAAGCAACAACAGTTTGAAACAATTGCTCCGCTGGAAGTAGTCTGTGCATTGGAGACCAAGTATACTTACTGAATAACGTCTGGATATTGTCAGCGTACTCGTGGTGTGAAAATAAACTCGTATAAGGAAGAGGAATTGGATTACATTCTACCGTGTCCGTGTATCTCTATCTATCTTGTAGTGTGGTGCATAGAGAATGTGAAGTAGGCGAAAAAGTGTAAAAGAAGAAGAAGCAGAAGCAGAAGCAGACAACAACGAACAAGTAGAAACAGTGTAAGAGGAAACAAGTAAATATCCATTTAGAACAACTTAAGAGGGGTCAGTGCGGAAATACATATTGTACATCGAACACACACACACACACACACTTACAACTATTGTATTTAGCATTGTGCGTATACGAGTATATACATACATATAATAAAGAGCTTTTTGCAGCCCGCACACTACTATACACATACATACATACGTATTAGCTAAACGGGAACTGTTGCTTGAATAGAATGATGCTAGAGCAAGCGCTAAAGCGCGAAAGTGAATAAACGTTGTGGCTGACATAATAAACAATAAAGCAGGCGGGGAGAACAGTGGTGTTGGGCAGGCGGGTAGTATTAGTAGTAGTAGCAGCAGTAGCACAAAAATACTAATCATGCACATAGATACATACCCACACACATGCATATGCTTTTGTGCGCATACCGACAGAATCATAAATAAAAGCAAATAGCAAATTAAGGTAGCGAATTGATGTGTGAGTGAGCGAGATAGCGAGTGTAAAGCTGAAAGTGGAAGTAGAATTGGCAGTTAGAGCAACTTCTGGTATGCACATACATATATACATACATATAAATTTATATATATGTATGAATGCATGAGTGTGTATGCATGTGCAAATGGGCTTCGCTAGCACATACCCACACACAATTAATCGTTTATTTCATTGTTGTTGCCGGCAGTCGTCACTCAATTTGTATGTATGTATGTATGTATGCATGTATGTATGTATGGATGTGATAAAACGTACGGTTCGTCTCCCTCCTTTCCGTGTCCGCTTGCGTTGGCGTTCGCTCTGGCGGTTGCTTACGAATTGGTTAAGCACAAAATAGCGTCGATGGCAGCGCACAGTGCAACGACTTCATATACACGATGGGCAAATATGGGAGTGAACGGTTTTTTTTTTTTTTTTCAAATAAAGCATATTTTTTTTTTTTAATTTGAGCATGGAAAAATATAAATTTTTAAATCATAAATGAAATCGACGCAAAGTTGCGCGATAAAGACTACCTGAACAGACGCCTTTGAAGTCATCCTTGACTATAGGCCAATTGATATATGTACAAACAAGTGTTGTAGAAAGTAGCGCTAACAGCTAGCCGCCTAACTCTTCTATGTACACAGTTTACTCTAGTTACAAAATTGTGAAGGACATGGTGGCATTGAGAAAATCATATCGAAACTCGGGCTAAATGTAAAATCGAAAACCGAAAACCATCTGCCGGGTAGGTACCACCTACTCCTTCCCTAGTCGGGAGGATTGGACGGAAGGCGAATTCCTTGGGTAACAATGAAGATATCCATATCGATACTGCTGGGTCTAAATATGAGGCAGGCAAAGAGCCTAAGTTCTTTTGTGGTCACTCCTATAACCAATGTAGCTTCAAACTCAATGACTACAGCTCTGTTTTCCCAGCAGAGGTA